AGATAACACAATGGAGCTTACTCACAGAGGCCGAGCACTCCTTTTAAAGACTCAGACTTGGCAAATGTAACGGAAGGAAATTTGGAAAAGAATGGCCAACACACATTTATTTTTTTCTTGATTCCACCCCTTATCCCTACCCCCCTCCTCCAAAAGTAAAACTACACCATCATATTCTGTCAATGACTTGAAAGGATCCAAAGGCTCAGGGACTGATTAACTCTGGACTGCATATGAATTACATCTTCCAGATACCATTTAAGCATAACGTGAAAGTAAGAATACTTCATATTTTCAAGCTGCATGCACTGACGACAACAGGAGCCAACAGCAATTGCCAGCTCGCAAAATTGAGACCCCTCAGCTCTTCTATTGTCATGCCATCTTCATTGGAAGGTTACATTACAATAATGTTTGAAACGGCTGACAGTGAACACAAACACACACCTCAACCACAGAATTAAAAAAAAATATGCTTTCAAAACATATTATATTTTCTCACATGCAACATGCCCTAGAATAAAATACACGACATGTCTTTGAAAGACAGAATAAAGGGGAAAAAAAAAGATCTTTCTTTATAGCAGCAGGTAGGAAGCCAAGCCTGCTCATTGTTCTGGTCTCTGTGGATCACTGCTGATTTCACTTAGCTTTTGCCCAATAAGGCAGAAACTGTCTTTACCATATTTCTTGCATGTAGCGCTCCCTGAAAAACTTGCAGGGATGAGGGAAGAATGGGGTTTAAAAAAAAGGTACATGCTGTCTGAGAGAAAATACAGAATATAAAATCAGCAGGTCACGCCTCTCCCCTAACCCTGCACTAAACATGTGCTAAGTTTTACTTAAGTCACAGAAGAAAGAAGTGACAGTATGCAAGGTATCTCATGAAAAGATTACATACACAAAATTTAGTTGTCATGACTACAGAGATGTATTAATCAAAAAATGCTGTTTCTTGTGTTTTAGACTGCAAGCATTTTTGAGACACTGCATTATACTAGGAAGTTTTTTGAGGCGGAACAAAAGATGAAATTTTGAAATAGTGGAAACCATACCTTCACAGCTAGCTGTACCACAGCCATATGTATACCAAGATATTGCAATTAAAGCTAAATTAATTAGATAAAGCTGTGACCAAAAATAGAGAGAGAAATAAATTCAGTTCAGAATGTAAAAGGTCTATCCCTTTGAACAAAGCATTTTGTTAAACCAATTCTGTAAAATTACAGTTTCTCTGATTAAAAACTGTATTACAAAGAAAGAAGATTACATCCTCCAAATTATGACTTGTGCCACTTATCCCTCAAAGGCCATCTCTGCAAATAATTAAGGATCACATTTTTAACACAGACAATGCTTACAATGGAAAGAGACTTCAAGTCTTCTTATACAGCTGTTGCTGAAATTGTTCTTGCATAAAGAGACATTTCTGACAGCTGTCTGTCTGATACCAAGTTGCACAATGGAGGTACAGGCTGATGGGTAAAAGGTTTGCCAGAATTGGAAATATCAGCTTGACTACTCTTGGGTGTGGAAGTACTGGAGGGAAAGTATTAGCGTAGTTTAATATGCATATATTTGCCCTTTTTGTGCTTGTAGATAAAGGAAATTACATGTGAGACAAGTATTTCCTCTCTCAGTAATTTGAAAGAAGTGATAACTCACACAGGTATCGCTGTGTTTCAGGGAATACAGGGTACCTAGAAGTTATCAGAAGTGGGGGTTTTTTCTGAACCCTTTTTCTATTTTAAAGACTTCTGTTTATTTCAGTGAGAGTTATACAAAGTTAGGGTCCATTAGGCCCCATGCTGTATTTTCAAACCTACATACTTCTTTATTACCAAGACTTCCTTCCTGCTGCTCACATCCCTGACCTTTTGTTTCTTTCCACTTAAGCTCTAAAAATGTAATTAGTTTTCTGGCCTAAATCTGCAGCACAGGCAAGAACCTGGGCCCACAATTCCACATGTGAGGCAGCTATCACATCAAGCCCTTGGTGATTCATTCACCATCTCTACTGTTGTGGATTAGAAATTCATCCAATCTCCATCCCCTCTCAGGGAGCCTGCCAGGGAGATGGATGCATAAACAAGGGTGCCTCAGACAGTTTTCAATGCAGCTGTTCAGCTTTCTCCCACTAAAATCTCTACTTCCATACAGTTCTTACAGGAAAATGCCTCCTGTACTCCTAAAGAGAAATGCAGGGAATTTTCAGCAGCTGATGTTATCTTCACAGGCTTCTGCAGAATCTATAGTGCCTTGAAGAAGATCCTTAAGCCTCCAACCCCTCTTCTCAGAAGACAGATGAGCTCCGATGTCAGTCCAAAAGAAAGTTTCTATGCAAATAAAATTCTCTAAACCCTTGCTGTTGGGTTAGCTACTTTTTAAGGACAGGCTTACAAAAGAAAATAGGTTTTCTGAAATATTCTTGAAGGAAGAGGAACCAGAAAGTAGGGAGCGGTCCAATATTGAAAAAAAAATGACTTTGCTCCAGAGAACAGTATAATTCAGATTTTGTTCACAAATATAATATACTTCTGGGACAACCAACCTAAGCCTTTTTTGGGAAATGCAGCATATAAATCCAATTAATCAATCAAGCTTATGTTCATTATTTTTTAACATCTAATTACCATTTCAAAATTATTATTCCCCCTCTCCTCTTCCTCACCTCCACGATTCATTCAACTTCAACTGGCCTAGTTTTGTTGCCAATTTCAAATCCTGGTTTCTACCACTGTTTGTGCTTCTAATGTTGGATATTCTACTACTGATCAAGGTTTCTCGTCCCTTTGGTGTGCGTAAAAAAAATAAAAATAAATGGACATGTATTTCCCCTCTAAAAATAATACATCTTTAAGCCAAGAAGCATCGTTTATACTACATACCTTTAAGTTCTACAATTTTATGACAGAAAGAATACTCCTAAAATATTAACATCCTTTTTCTTTAATATCCTTTCAAAAACATTTTTTGAAATGCTATGGAAAAAACAAAAAAAGAAAACTGCTTAAGCTCCATTCTGCGCTTCAAACAATATATTGCAAAACAAAATAAACTTTTTACCAAAAAAAGGTTAAAATTAAAATGCATTTTTATAAATGTAAAATAAAGCTACAGGATTGTTAGATTCAGAAGAAATGAAGTAACAAGGCCACGTTTCATTTTTCCAACATTACTAGAAATTGAATGATTTGCTGACTTGTTAAAAATAATTCTTCTCTGTAAAACCCCTGAGGGTTACCTTCACAGCACTACACTGAAAGCAGATGGCCCGCGCTGAGTCTCTAACTACAAGTCTGACCTGGCAGTCCTACAGAAATCACAATGACTATGCTAATTTTTTTCTGAAGAAAGGCAGTCAACCTGAAATTTAGGCTATTATTGAGAGAGAGGGAGACAGCATACCCAGGAACTCAAACTTTCAATCCTCCTGCCAACTTATCTTACAGTTACATTTTCCTGTTCTATTTTGTTTGTTAAACTGTTTTCCTCTCCAGTCAGGCAAATTTTCAAATAGTAAAGCAAGCAGGAAACTGATGGATTAAGCAAGAGATATAGTGAAACTGATTTTACACAAAGTGTCTTCAAATGCACAAAGTAAGCAATCAGAAAAAAGGAAGGAAACTGCAACAACAGAAAGTGAAATTACTACAGATGTTACTTGCAAGAACTGTAGGTCAAAGATGTACGGACAAGGGTTACTTAAATTAATTACAGCCTTGAAAATAGGTTTGATAACAGTAATCATCCTCATTTTTCTTCTTTTTTCATATAAATGTTTATGACCACTGCTGGAAGTCTTGTCTTCAGGTATAAAAAAAATCTTGTGCAGACAGACTGTTTCATTTCCTGTCCCTACTCAAATGAGGAAACCCTCAAGAAGAAAAAAAAAAAGTGCTGCCATCCACATGTTCAATCCCAACTCACTATTTTGCAATCCCTAAATATTAACTTGTGCTTAAAGAGAAACCCATTGTCCTAGTCTGTGCAGGGGGAAAGGGGGCTTTGCCTGAGTGATGGCTGAAAACAGAACCCTAATGATGCAAAAGTAAGCATTATTTCGCTATAAAGCCAATCAAAGTTGCTCTTAAAACACCCACATACTAAATTTGCAAGAAGAAATGGTTTTAGAAACAGGGAAAGAAAGGCAGTGCAGTTTTCCTCTCCAACTGGCAAACCTAACAAGGGATGCATTCATCACTCAGGAAAGGATTTTCCCTACTATAAAGTCCTTAGAGGCCCTAAATTCTGAGAGATCTTCAGGATGTCAAGAGCAGAGGTCCCTGCCTTTACACTGGGTCAGGAGTCCCATCCCGTGCTCCCCTTTTTCCTGGCTGTAGATCCCATGGGATTGTATTCTGAATTTCCGTTACTTTACCTTGGAAAATCATTAGGGGGAGAGGGCACACATGTCCAACCCTGTCACTATCCAGCACAGACTCCACCTATCTTCTCATTCACTTGCTGATTATATAGAAAACCTTTCACTGGGTCTGGGGAAAGGCATGCTGCTGCTTCTGTAAGGGTAGAACTCTTACTGACCTACCTGATGACCAACTCTGAGGATTCTGGGGAACATGATTTGTTCCAAACTTAGTTTTAGCCCTCTCTAGATATTTCTAATTAATCCTTAAATCCTTTGCAACTTCATTAGATGGCACATAATAAAATGCAATGCATATTCCCCCAAACAAAAGACAAAGTGACATGAAAAGGAACCCTCCTCCATCTTTCTCCCAGTCCTGTAATTAAACTATCTTTGCTCCTACACGATAAGACTGCCATATAACAGAGATGTAAGCTAATGCATGCAATTCAAATTAATCAAATGAACAAAAAGCAATGTCACAATCCATTAATAAAATTGATAACGGTGTATTCTTTAACAAAATTCAAAGGACATTAGTATTTTAAGAAACATTCACCATTAAAAACATACTGGATCATCTCTCTTGCTCAAACACTGAGAACTCCAAAATTTAAGAATGTCAACTCACCTTCCAAGCTATCAGAACAGGAGGTACCAATGCCTGTGTCCCCACTGTCAGAAGCTATACTGTGTCTTCTGATATGGTTACTTTGACTGCTTGATGGACTGTTAGTGGCCTGCCACAAGGATTCAGTACCAGGCAACCATCCCGCTGAAGAATAATCTGAGCCTATAAAGAAGGAAATCAGAAGTCTGTCATTCCGGATATAGACTAGAAGTCAAACAGCACTTACACATGAAGAAAGGTACAAATCAGGCTCTGTGTACCCTATTGCAAGCTTGCCCCAAATACTGCACCAATTATTTCTACAGCAATCAAGCACAAACTTACATTTCTTCTAATAGGCTCACATAAATACAAGGCACTCATCATTTTCATATTTTATAAAAATAGAATATACAGTAGCATTCACATAATTTTTAACAAGATAAATACATTTATTTCACTGCCCATTTCTGAATTCAGTTGTCACCACACTGAATAATTTTGTACTGAAAGCATGCAAGAGAGACGAAAAAGGGGAAGGAGACAGTTTGGACAACTGAAAAGATGTATGACCCTTGAATATGAAGGTGGTCACATAAAGTTGTGAGACAATTACTCTGCCTGAATGCATTCTCTTAAATAAAATGAGCAGGGAAACAATACTGAACCATCTTTGGATTTTTCCAGAGGAGATTTTATTACTCTGCAAATTTACTCTCAAATCTATTGTTTTAAGCCTGCTATTGTGTCAAGGCCATTGCAAATTGAAGACAACCATGTTTCTTTACTCTTTTCACTATAAGAACTATTTTTAATAAAGATGAAAGATTATATTCTAGAGCATAATTCTGAGGAGAGAGATGGTTACTACAGCCAGGAAATTGCAGGATGTGCACACGTAGTCACAATTAGTCCCAAGAGGATAATCATATGCTTATTTCTATAGCCTTCTAGCCCAGTTGCCCATCACAAAGCAGATTTTCATCAACCAGTATCTTAAGCATATTGTCCAGGAAGAAGAGTGGATAGGTATTAGAATACTTCAAATCAATAGCTCAACATTAAAACCTAGAAACACTGCACAACCTAATTATTGTTATATGCTGATCTGGCAATAACTATGCTGCAGTTTCTGTAACAGATTATTTTTATTAAGTGATAATGCTGATCCTACAATAGCAACTGTTCTCACCTGGCACACAGGCATTTTTCTTCCTTTTAGATCATTTAACATGAATATTCAAGTTTATTAAGTTCTACCAAAGTACTGGGCTTCCTTGACAGTGAACTGCCATTGCACAGACAAATCTCTGAGAAGTAAATGCAGTTTATAAACTGATGAAGTCGTTTATATGAAAAATAGTCCCATCTATCTGATAGCCAAATAGTTGCCAAATATTGTATTACAATGAAATACTATGTCCACCACTTTCTAATTTTTTAGAATTGTAACTTAATATCCCCTTCATTTTTGCATACCTTTGCCAGCTACACCCATTTTTCTTTTTCCATAAACAAGAACTTTGTTTCTTCCCATATTAAGTCTCCAGTGTTGCCATTTCCTGCTTTCCCCTTTGCTCCCTTTTAGCTTTTTCCTAAAATCTGCTGCCTCTTTTCTGATTTGTACCAAATGCCTCCCTTGCAGAACTCAGAAGTGCTACCAGACTTAAAAAAATACAATAAAATACAGGGAACTAGGCAGGACAACCTTTTTTGACAGTGATAATCTTACCCAGCAGCCGAACCTGGCAAGAGAGAGAGACTGCTGATATTTAATAAAGTGTACCAGCCCTAAACTCCATTTAGGTCTCCATCCTTCATATCATCCTCCCACATAAGAAGAATCTTACTTATCTGAAACTACTTCATTCCTTTGTAACTAACTGAAAGAGAGAAAAGCTTTCATTTTGTTGTATCCCAACTCCCACCACCAATACATCCTTCCCCTCTTCTGCACCCAGCATCCTGACTGCTTCGATGGAGAGTGTTACTTTTTCCTCCTTCGATCAGTTTCCTTCCCAGCCACTAGCTCCAGTATCTATCTTGCTGCTCCTAGGTGTTCAAAGCAGAGTAAAGTTGACCTAAAGCAGCCTTAAACCAATTAAGCTCAAAACATTTCAGACTTTGAAGAGAACATACTGCTTGGCTGAGGGGTTTACATTGCCTTTCCTTTTAATACTATCGAAGTGCAAAAATAGATAAAAAGCAAGATTCTTGTTGATATTGCAGCCTTTATGACACAACCATATGGGGAAAATTTTATCAAAATAAATACACAAAATCTTTCTCCCTAGTGCAGCAGAAATGTTACCACCATGATGTTATTGCAATGTTAAGTGCCCACACGTCTAGATCTTTTTGTATATTCCATTTTTTATCATTATTCTTTTAATTTAAATAAAAAAAGGACAGATCCTGTTGACTTCCATTCAAGTTTATGGTGACTAAACATAGCAAATCTCCTACAATATATAATGATATGCTAAAATGACTTATGAGGACTGGCTGAAAGAACTTGGCTTATTTAGCCTAGAGAAGAGAAGACAGAGGGGATTTAATAGCAGCCTTCAACTACCTGAATGGGGGTTTGAAAGGGGATAGAGAGCTAGACTGTTCAGTGGTGGCAGATGACAGAACAAGAAGCAACGGTCTCAAGTTACAGCAAGGGAAGTTTAGGTTAGATATTAGGAAGATTTTTTCCACTAGGAAGGTAGTAAAACACTGGAACAGGTTACCCAGAGAGGTGGTAGAAGCCCCATCCTTGGAGGTTTTCAAGAGCCAGTTAGACAAAGCTTTGATTGGGATGATCTAGTTGGGGCTGGTCCCGCTCTGAACAGGGGGCTGGACTAGATGACCTCCTGACGTCTCTTCCAACCCTAACTTTCTATGAGTCTACAATCGGGTACTACAGCAGGGATCCACACCATCAGTGGGCAGAACTATCCCACGCCAAGAGAAGTTCTCAGAGTCCTTGTGACACTGGAAGGCCCAATGCCTCCAACAACTATCTTGTGTACACCCATAGGGCCACTCCTGAGAAATTAACCATTCCACTGTGCTGTAGTGTGCTGAAGCAGAGAGGAGAGCAGAGGGCTTGCTTAGCCCTAGCTAGTACCTCACCTCCTCATTACCCATTAAACAGGCTTTGTGCTAACAAAGGAGCAAGTCAATATTCAAGGGAAATGTCTCAAGTTAGAAAAAAAAAAATTTTAATGTCCGCTATCTATTTTTGTACTCAAAATATGCCCAAGGATTACTGCTGTGGCTGATCCCTTTGCAACAGATATAAGATGGCAAGCAGCAGGTAAGAAAGTTTCTTTGTATTGCCTTTTTCCTTGTACACTATACCAAAAGTAAAATACATTCTGCTCATCAATGGATGCAGCATGTCCAATGTCATAATTCTAGTCATCTAGACTTTCCGATGCACCATGGAACAGAAATTCATCTATTCATCTATTTTATCTTAATGTTCTATACCTGTATTTTGCATAATAGAAGAAAACCAATATGCACAATGGCTCTCTAATATGCAGCAGTTTTTTAAACTAAATTTACTGTTCAAAGAGACAGAATGCAATAGGTTACTCCTGTTTTTACACTGAGAAACTGAAAAACATTAGTTTCAACAGAAAGTCAAATTACAGTTTTGAGTGTCAAATTGCAAAGCCCCAATTCCAAACTAAGGCATTTACACTGCTGCTAACCATTAGGTGCAAACTAGGAAACAAAAGACCTTATATGCTAAATGAATTTAGCGTATTATTTTAAAGTCAAGCTCACTAGCTTTGGGTATCTAAATAGAAACCACTTGACAAAGTCAACACATCTTCTCATGTCCCCCACCTTCACTTGGGCACAATTCTGTTAACATCTGGCCTCTCACTTTCACATAACTCAATCTAAATGAGCCAAACATAACTTCAGCAGATGATATATAAGCAAGCTTCCCTACTCTACACTGCCAACACTCCTGAATTACACTGCTGTTCCTATCTTAAACCTGCCAATCACCAAAACTGCCAATCTTCACTCATCTGGGAGAGCAGCAACTAACAGTGGTTGCACACTGCCTAGAAACAAAGATGTAGTATTTCAACTTTTGACCACTTCTATCTCCATATGCTTGGCTACTTTGATTTACTCCATAAATATTTGCTCCATAAAGATGGAAATTGGTTTCAATTCCTTCCAAAGGTACTGCAAATGAAAATACCCAGGATTCTGACAAGGTCCGAAATGTTGACATACTGTATTTACTTGAATATAAAAGAAGGTTCCTTCCTCCCCCCCACCAATTCACATTGGGGAAGAAAGCCCCTTCTCTTACATTTGCATACAAGGAAACTGTACTAAACACATTGTCGATCTTTGAACTGCTGCTAAAAACAGCATATGCTCAGTAATAGAAACCAACTATCAAGTTATTAAATGCAGCTAACACTGAACATGACTATAAAACACATGGTCCATATTAGGCAAACATGCTGATAGGAACCTACCACAAGGATACTCTAGTACATCTCATCTAAATAAGATATATGGTAATGCTCAGTGAGTACAGTCCCCTTCAGCACACTCTTTTTCAAGTCATGGTCACCACATACATTTTTATTTCCTCTTCACTCCTATAGCTGAGCTGTGCCTTTCTTTCCCATTTCCAATGATTCCTGTTTCTTCACCAGCTTTACATGCATGGCAAACATCACAAAACAGGGTCCCAAACAGTTCACCCAGAATCCCTCTGTTGGATCCCCCTCTCAGTCTGGTGCATATGATAAGTGTGCCCCCCACCCCTCCCCTATGAGGCAGAACCAGACCAGGTTGCCCTATGCCTCATCTGTGTATCAATTTTTGGAGGCTCCCAAGAACACCCGGTTCCAGTCATGAGTGGGGGGCTAACTAACACAGATTCTTTGTGGGGGATATCTGGAGCACATATACATACCAAGTAGTGTTGAGCTGTGAAGTCACCATGGTTTGAAATGCTCTTGATTTTGCTGAGGCCCAACCCAATGAACTATATGGTATATCATGAGCCTTTTGGCTTTAGATTAATAAGATGCATAGTTTGTATTATTTGTCAGTAGGTACCAAAGTCTACTCAAAAGTGCGTTTAAGGAGTATCTGTGCTAAAACTTGCACTACTTTCAAAAAACGTAAAATGCATCAATTCTGGATGA